TCCCCTTTGTTTTTTTGTCTTTTGGCACCGGGGATTGAACTTGGGTCCTTGCACCTGAAAGGCAGGCAGCGGAACCGTTGAGCTAAATCTCCGGCCCCAGGGCTCTCCTTTGTGAATAAAGGAGCATTTGCCTGGAAACATTTATTTCAGTCTTTAATGACTAATGGGATCCCAATAATTTTCATAGCCTTATGGGAGACACATTCCAATAAACATTGCTTACCATATTATTGTGATATCTTTATATTGGTTATCATTAAAAGTTTTCTGTGGGTAAAACAATAAGGCTTTATTAAAAGATGATCTTGGCACAAAACTAAATTAAGAGGCAATGGTTTTCATATAATTGTTGCTCATTTATTGCTAATTTCATGGTGTACTAAATGTATTTGTGCCTTCCAAGAGTACAGGTCTTCTAAGATACGAAGCTAGGATTGTTTATGGTTATGGTGATAACCTTTTTTTAAGACTAAGATTTCTGCTTTTCTTTTGTGTTCCAGCTCATATGAGGTACATGTCAAGGCAACACAAGGTCACCAGTCAAATAATAGTTTTTGTTGCTTTTTTAAAAACCTTATATGATGTGTGTTGTATATGAATCACTACACTTAGTGTTGCTCAGGCACTAAGCAGTCCAAACAATGTCACACACTAAAAATTAGGGGCTAGACATTATAAACTTCTAAAGTACATTTGTAGACCAGTCCAATCTCCTCCAATGGCATCCTATGAAAATAACAAATTTTGTGAGAGTTTCTTTGTGTCATTTAATGTCTTGTGATCAGATGGAGATGTTTGACTAAAAAGTCTATTCTATACTGAATTGGACATTTAACTATGTTGCAAAGAAAATGTCATCATCACTGTCATGCTAAAACCCTATGTGTGGCTCTTGATCTCAAATTTTTCTGTAAAACTTTATAACTGTTGTCTGCTAACATTCTGCAGGGATTCAACTACTAGAACAACCATGGTTGATAAGAACTAACAGTCCTCTAACTATACTTTATATTTCAAAGTGCTTGATACTCAGATGAGATTACAACTGTTAATCTCACTGTTCCCTCTGCAATACTGATAGAACTGATCTTCTCTTCTGGGTGTTCAACAACTAAAGTTTGGAGACTAAAATTGGGAAGATAAGAACAGTAAGCTAAAAAGAAAGCCAATATTTTGGCCCTGGCCCATGAAGACCAATGAGGACCTAGGACATGAGGGAACCTTTTCTACAGGATCCTACAACTTTGGTGAGTCACCCAACCTCCTGAGCAGGGGAATTACTGAACCCCAGAGGATAGGAACCAACAAATGTACAGTGTTCCAAAAGAGGGTTATCAAAGAGGGAAAAGTCTCTTGTGCTTTCACAGAAAGCAATAAAATCAATCAAGATCATGACCCTTCCTGACAGCTGACACCAACAGAGGAGCTGAGAGGCTCTCTACATGGTTCCAGAAGTAATGTCTGAGGAGACTTGACTGACTTTGATAGACAGCAAGAGGTTAATTTTGATTAACACAGGTCTTACTTTAACTTGGTCTTAAGAAAAGCCAAGATCCTTACCACAAAAAATAAGCAAAAAACTAACTCCAGGTGGACCAGAGACCTAACTAAATGTCAAAGCTGTCCACCTTCTAGAAGGAGGAGGAAGTCATTATGACGTTGGCCTAGGCAAACACTGCTTTGACAGCCCCCTAAAAAAGCATGAATCTTAAAGAATAAACTGACAAACTGAACTTCATGAAAACTGAAATGTTGCCCCTCCAAAAGGACTGTTAATGGAATGAACACATAAGCTACAGACTGGGACAAAACATTTCCAAATCACAAATCTGACTAATATCTTGTGTCTAGAAAGTATAAAAAAGTGTGAAAAATTATAATAGTACATAAGATCCTATTGAGATGGTTGACAAGGTGAAATAGGAAGAAAAGGGCTAAAGGTGTAGGGAAAGTGGGAAGGGTAGGGGAAAGGTAATAAGGGAAAAGAAAAAATATGAGAAAATGGAAATAAAGTGTTTATAAAGGGGGAGTGGAGGAGGGGGTGAAGGGAGGGCAGGGACAAGGGGATAAAATGAGAACCAAGACCTGTCATGTAGAGGTACAAGATCCCAATAATGAATGTAATTGTACTGTATACCTAAAATGTACCAATAAACTCAATGAGAAAAAAAGTATAAAAAAAACTGTTCAAAGTCAACATTAATCTTGAAAATCAGCAAAAGAGCAGCAAACACTTCACAAAAGAGGCTATTTTTTTAAAAAAAAAAGAAAAGCTAGGGCTGGGATGTAGCTCAGCTTGGAAAGCTCAACAACCTGAGTTTGATTCCCAGTACAGACAGACACACACACACACAAAAAGAAATCTAAAAAGAAGACATAGAGGACCTATAGATAAAAACTTTTCAATAAAAATACTGACTAATAAAAGCTGGCAATGATGTGGAGAAACCAGATGTCACACACTCCTGAAGGGAATGAAAAATGGGTTAACATTTAGTGTAAAACTAAACATAATGCTTATCATACGACCCATCAAACATTCCCTGAGCATTTATCCCAGAGAAATGGAAGGTTCAGATTCACACAACCTGTACATGAATGTTCGTCATAGCTATATTAATAATAAACCAAGCCCAGAAACAACCCAAAGGCCAATGCCCACATGGCTATTTGGATTTGGTACATCTAAATAACAGCAATAACGAGGGACAGATTACTGACAAATATACAACTTGAATGGATCCTTGGATGGATTTGCAAAGCGAAGGAAGCCACATATAAAGAAAGATTCCATACTTTATGATTCCATTTATAGGACTTTTTTTTTTTTTTTTAAGATAGAATCTCGCTATGTAGTCAAGGCTGCCATGGAACTCACTTTATACCCCAGGCTGGCCTTGAACTCATGGTGCTCCTCCGGCCTCAGTCTCCCAAGTGCTGGGATCACAAGTGTGTGCCACATTTTTGAAATGACAAAATTAAGGGGATAGAAATCAGACCAGTGACTTGCCAGTGGGTTGGGATGGGAAAAGAGATTTTACATGTATGCGTAGGGAATCATGAGAAGAAAAAAATCTGCACATATTCAGCAAAGATGCAAGGTCCGCCTCCCCATATTTTCAGCTGGAAGTTGATTGAATTCTTGGACAGGGAACCCGAGGAGGCTGAATCCTGGAATGTAGAGGGCTGATTGCAGGAGAGTCTTCCTAGCTTCCTGCAGTACAGCACTCTCAGTGGGGAATTCTGATTGGCTCCACCTGCCTGCACCCGTCCAATCCTGAGACCGACCCCCTGAGGTCCCTCTGCGAGTCACCCTGAGGAGCCACAGAATCTGACAAGGTCCTGCCCCACCCCCACCTCCAAGCTCCCCTCTGCCCCTGGCCTCCTGATAAGTGTGTCTCCATGGAGATGCTCATCCTCACAGAGGACAGGGAGAGCATTCTCATCTCCTGGAGAGCTGGTCTCTGAGGGGCCTGGCACACACTGCAGACGCCTCAATCAGTGGTTCAGTGGAGGGAGCGAGCAGTGTCTCAGCAGCTGCCTCTTCCATGAAGCTTTCCTGATTGCCCCACCCTTCCTAGGAGAAACAAACTCTCCCTCTTCTGTGTTTCTGTAGTACTTTAAGTGAACTTGGGTAACTTAACTATGTCTCTATAACGCTGCTTGTCTGTAAAATGAAAACAAAATAATGCTTTTGTAAGGGCTGGGATGAAGACATGTGTGGAAGTGCACGCCTGTAGTCCCAGCACTTGGGAGGCTGAGGCAGGATCATTGCTGTGAGTTCAAGGTCAGCCTGGGGCTACATAATGAATTCAAATGTAGCCTGAACTACTAAGTCTATCTCAAAAAAAACAAGAACAAACAAAGCAAAAAGTCTGGGATATAGCTCAGTGCAAAGGTCCTGGGTTCAGTCCCCATTTCCTGGGTTGGGGGAGACCTGTGAACTTAAACCATCTTAAGTCTGGACCGTGGTGCCTTTTCCTGTGGGTGCAGCACTGGCCACCTCCTCCTCCTGGAAGGACAGTGTCCCTGCTTCGGTGACTGTGAATTCTTCCCTCTTGGATCTTCATGTACCTCCCTCTCTGGCAGCTGCATCTCAGGCCCTGCACTGACTGCAGGATCCAAGTCCTCTCCTCACTCCCTGCACTCTTGCTACAGGAAGTCTTTTCCTCATCTTTTTGCTCACTTTCCACCCTGAAGACACAGGAGGGATCGCACACATGGGTTGAGACTGACAACTGTGGGGACTAAATGCTGGGGCTATTGGAATTCCTGGCAGTTCTTTCAACTTCTTGGTGCTTCTGACTTTCCATAAAATGTTGGAGAAACTATCCCTGGCTCTTTTGATAAAGACTCCAGCTGAACATGAGTCCCTTTATGATCTGGCCACTTCCTCCCTCTGCCACTGTTTCCACAACTCTAATCATCCTAAATTGCCTGAAGCCACTGAGAACTGCGCAGTTCATTCCTCTGTCCCCAAACTCATGTTGCTCCTGATTTTCTGGAACACCTTTCCCTGCATTCTCCTCCCTGAATCCCAACTCTCTGTGCCCCTCCTCTCAGCCCATGCCGCTACAGCAAGCAGATTGTGGTTGCTCAGGAAAGGTTTACCCCATGCAGAGCCTGGCCCAGGCTTGAGGTGCTCCCAAATGCTGCAGGCCTGGCTGGAGGGCTTGCTTTCTAGATCCCTGTCTCTGAGTCACTGCCAGGGAGAACAGTTCCTCGGGCGTTTCCTTGTTTGCGACAGAAACATACACACACTCTTTCTCTCTCTCTCTCTCTCTCTCTCTCTCTCTCTCT